GGGCTTGAAGTTTTCTTTCATCGTTGAAACAGGTTCTCGCTATGCAGTTCAGGCTGGCCTTGAATTCACTGTGTAGCTCAGGCTAGACTTGAACTTGCAGGGATCCACCTGCCTCAGCCTCCCGAGTACTGGAATCACAGGCATGTGCCATCATGCCTGGCCTGGGGTCAAACTTGTGATCCTCTTACCTCAGTCTCCCACAGTTCTTGAATTGCAGGTATGCACCACCATGCCTGGTTAAGCATCTTTTAAAATGATCTTTTAAGATCATATACCACATATAACTGATTTTTTTCCTGATCACAGAGTAGGGCTATGTCCTTAGAAAGGACCTGTTTAAGAGCAAAGGTGGCTGTAATACTGTGAGACAAAGGCACTGTGACACCTTTAATAAACAATGTTTTCAACAGGAAAGTGTGTTCTGAGTTGAAAATTATTTCTTCTTCTAATACTTTGAAAAATTTAGGGCCAAATTATATTTAGATATAGTTCCATAAACCAACAGATGAAATTTCCTGTGACATGATATACAATGTTGTACTGGCTCATCCATCCTCATGGATTTGAGTACACAAAACGAGCCAGGCACTAACCTCAGTGATGCATCTACTCAGAGTTCTGTGTAAGAAAGTGCCCTGGGGCAAACTTAATACTGATAGTTTCAGTTTCAGAAAGACGGCACCATATGCTTTTCTGCCTTTGTAATTTACAGACTCTGATGCTCATCTCGTTAGTTCCAGTCCTTGTTCATTTTTGCCAGGGAATATGCACAGTCTCTTTTTCTGTAGGGCAGTCTCCCCCGTTTTCATCATGTAAATGTAGCAACCCAAGATCCTTCCAGGGTTCTAAGCCCACAGCCCATCATTTCACTAGCCAGAGTCCAAATAAAAACTGGTCAATTAAGTCAACTTTTATTTAGACATCAATATCATAGGACATTACCATGCTACAATCCGAGAACACCAATACTAAGAGAAATAGCCAGACTGAATACAGATAATTCTTTAAGCGATCACTAAACACTTGATGCAAGTACAAGATGGGGAAAGGGAGAAGTGGAAGGTTTTACAAAAGAATGGTAGCAAGACAGATAGCATTTCAATTCAATAAAGTAACCCAAGACTTCTTTTTCTACTAATATTCAGAAAAAAGTTAAGATTTTCTTTGCCATCATTTTTAATCAACTAATACAAATATTTGCCTTGTGATATCAATGATATCCAAGGACTATATAAAGATAATAACATAAGAGTAGTGTCTTTATTCTGGACCATTCGGTGAAGTTATACTTAATTAAACAGTTCTCTTTCAAGATTAATTCATTGAAAGTGATTGCCACTTTTGGCTAGTATAGGATCCACACAAATGGGTCCTAATTTAAGGAGAGAGAAATCCATTCTAATATTTCTGAACATATTAATTTCAAAGGTTTCAAACTAAATCAACTCATATACAGTATTTCTTTTTCTTTCTTTTTTTTTTTTTGGTACTGGGGATCGAACTCAGGACCTTGCGCTTGCGAGGCAGGTGGCAGAACCACTGAGCTAAATCCCCAGCCCACATATACAGTATTTCTTATTAAGCAGTCTACTTGAATAATGAAATAATGTTCATTTGAAATAATATAAGACAAATAATAATTTATAACTAAATTTAGTGTCTCTTTTAATACCAGGTTTTTTAGGAGGGTACTGGCGATTGAATTTAGGGTCTTTATATTGAGTTATATTCCCAGTTATTTCATTTTAAATTATAAGACAGGGTCTCACTAAGTTGCTCAGGATGGGCTTCAACTTGTGATCCTCTTGCCTTATCTTCTCAGAGTGCTGGGATTACAGGCTTATGCCAAGGACTAACTTGTATTGAAATGTTATATACAAATACTAGTAAATGGAAGAAGTTTTTCAAGATGAATTTTTGTAGGAAAAAGAAGCAAGAGGGCTGGTATGCCTCTGATAAAAACATTTAATAGGGCAAGCCAGGTGTGGTGGTGCATGACTATAATCCCAGGACTCGGGAGGCTGAGGCAGGAGGATCGCTGTGAGTTCAAGACCAGCCTGGGCTACATAGTGAGTTCCAGGTCAGTCTCAACTACATAGTGAGACCATGTCTCAAAAAAACAAAAAAAACCCCCAAAAAACAAACAAAAAAACCCAAAAAAAACAACCGCCCCCTAAAAAACTTAACAAATACTGTAATGAGATTCTAATAGTGTTAGCTTTGGAGAATATGTTTGAGAGTATGTGGATATTTTTATCAGTTGTTAATTTTTCAATTTGAATTTTTTCTACTGGAAGTCTAAACATTTGTGGCTTAGTAAACAAAATAGCAATTAATAATAGGTCATTTGTAAGAGCAAAGCAAGACATCAAATGAGAATTCTGAAGTTACAGTCTCATTTCCAGGGTTGTGCATATCTTCTCAACTGTCCAATAAAAAAAGAAAACCAAGGAAAGTATTAGAACTATAGACCATAACAAAGGGCTAAGAGTCTTCCCTCATTTTTTTATTCTAGAACTGATGGTCCCTGCCTCCTAAAGGAAATAAAAATTCTTGTGGCCCATCTGTAGGCAAAAAGAGCCATCTATTTTATTTTTAAATAAAATATTTTCTACCAAAGTTTGGTTTCATTGCTTTTTCGCTGTCCAAAATTAATGCCATAGTTAGGCTATTACAGAAGCTGTTGTTTGCAGAATTGTAATTTAAACTTATAATTTCAGTCTTTTTTTGGGGGGGATGTAACTTTCCTTGGTATATAGCTAATACTTTGGCTAATACATATTTCTCTTTTATTGTCTACCATCTTAGACCATTAGAGGGAATTTCCTGTCAGCTGGCAGAGAAAATGTCATAATCTAACCTCAAGGATCTGCTGATTCTCAAGCTCCGTAACATAATCTAAGCAACTGAGACCATGGACCAGCTCACCTTTCCCAAAGATAGTGACAGGCTGCTCTCTTGCTGATGCTCATATTGCTGATCAGTTCTGGAGAACAGGATATGGAAAAGAACCTATTTGCCTTGGTAAAGACAGAAAAGAAACTAGCCTAGCCTACAGTGTTAAAATTCCTATTTGTACATGGGTCTAGAGCAGAGATTGGCAAACTATGGTCTGAAGGCCAAATCTAGCCCATCACCTGTTTTCACAAATAAAATTTAACTGGAATGCAGCCATGCCCATTTGTTTATGTACTGTTTGTGGCCACTTTCTTTCTATGGTATCAGAACTAACGAGTTACGGCAGAGAACCTATGGATGGTCTAAAATACCCAAACAGGTTAATTATAACTGTTACCCAGTAGCTTTTCATCTGATTCACTGTCTTCTCCCTCAACCAGTACTATGTCTTCATGAAGGTATTCCATATATAGCAGCCAACAAATTTGAAAGACCTGAGCTTGTTTCACTATAATGAGCTGCTAAAGTATTACAGCCCTTTTAGGAATTGCACTGAAGGACAATAAAGAAGGAAAGTATGTTGCATTGGGAGATTTTCAAGCAGTTCATTGTTTTAGACATTTCTATCTTTAGGAAGAAAAACCTCAGGTTGGTTCTTTTTTTTTTTTTTTAATCAATTTGGGGGCACTGCTAATGGTTTATTCAGATGAGTATAAGCTGGAAATAGCCAAGAATGTTGACAAGGAGATCTAAGGAAGGTGGGCTTCCTGAAGGACACACAAATTTGTATCTCACATGAATTTTATCAGTGTTCACAAATACAGAAAAGTCCTGTGTACAAAACTACATCTGAGTCTTCCCTCTTCAGTCAATTTGATACTTGCTCGGGGCACTAATAGAAGCTGTCTAAGTCAGTAGTCACAAAAACTAACAGAGTAATACTGGCTAGTGCTGATACTGTCAGCAATACTCATGAATCCTGAGTCCTCGATTTGTTGTCATACATTGAGGGAGCCAGTTAGTTACCTAATAACAGGCTAACTACACTTGGATTTTTCTGTTGTTGAAAGGACAATGCTTTTTCTTCACGGGAATTGATAATATGGATTTGGATAGGCCTTATCTGTCTCTGTATTCCTGACACCACCACCATATATCTTTTTACAAATGCCTTGTATATCACCACATTATTACATAAAATGCCTTCAACCATCTACTCCTCTTAGACACATGTATAAGTATTCTCAAGTCAGAAAGATACCTTAATCTCATCAAAGATTTACTGTCAATTAAAAACTGGGCTTAAAAAATGATGAGAGAGACCATTATGTGCTTGGACTCTGCATGAGTTATGGATACCACCTTGCAAGTTTTGTGTTAATTTTTAGGATTGTGATTACTCTGCCCCATCAATACACGTAGTATCAGAAAAATATGGTATTTCTTCCATAGCCCAAACCGATAGAACTAAGAAACAAGAAGTAGAAATGTGAGTGGGTTCTCTCAAGGCTCTAATTAATTTTTTTAAAAAAATTGTGTTCCTAGACCTATGGATTCAAGATTCTGCTATCCCAATTGGCATGATATATATTGGGAAGCACACTAAAAGTTGGTGATTGGTTCTACATGGTTGGATTAAAGGTAAAATTTATCTTTTTTCTTTGTGATTTCTAGGTTTTCTAAATTTTCAAGAATGATAATGTATATTTCATATCAAAATATAATTACTAAAGAAAGAAAATACATCCAAACCTACCAGCAGATTTCAATGAAAATGAAAGCAAAGAGTTTGAATAAATGCAAGATTTGCTAACAGAAAGAAACAAGAGAAACATGATGGAATTAGCTTGCTGCTTTCTTTGGTAACAATTCCTAGAAAGCATTTCAAAGAAATTATAGGAACATCTGAAATTTAAGTCTTAATCTTCACCTGTAAAATAAAGAGGACAACTATGCATCTAATAAGATATGTAAAAGAACAGCATAAAATAACAATTCTAAAGGTATGAGAAATTACTCACACCATGGGGCAAGTATTACTTGGGACAAGTAGCTATGTGCTCAGTGTTTGCAAAAATGAAACAAGAATAAAAATTATTTACCTTTGGGTTAAAATATCTACAAGACTGTGGCTGGGAACCTCCAAATAAGGCTATGCGGTAATCATGTTTCTTTCTTCTAGGCCTTGTGCCATCTACAAGTTCTTCTCGATCCTCTGGAGATAGCAGATGGTACCTCATTCCACCTGTAGAAAAACACATGGGAACTCTTAAGAACTTTAGGCACTAATGCAATGCTTTGAAAAGGTAATGCCCAGACAAAACAGTGCATTTATTTTTGTAACTGTGTTTTTATCATCCCAAAGTGTTCGAGGACAGTGAGGGGAAAGGCATAGGAGAAATGTTTAAGCACTAGACTTCTAACAAATTTATTATGCACAACAATCACCAGTATGGACTGTGCCACCCACTTATTACATACCAGTGAATTACCTGGCTCCTCAAGCAACAGCTGCCAAAAACATCATATTGAAATCCAGATCTCCTAACTCAGTGGTTCTTAATCTTAACTGTACATTAGAATCACCTGGGAAATCTCTGAACTCTGCCTGGGTCCTACTGCAGACCAATTAAAGTACCTGGTGGTCGGGCCCAGGCATTGGTACAGTATTTTAAAGCGTTCCTTAAATACTTGCCATTTAAAATATGGTTCAAAGAGCAGTAGCTTCAGCCATCTGAGTTTGTTAGAAATGCTGGAGATAGAACCTATTTTAGACCCACTGAATCAGCAAGTTTGCAAACTTAAAATCCCAAGGAAATTCAGATGTACATAGAACTTTGAAAAGTGCTGTCTTCGATGACTCTCAAATGCAGTGAGGATTCAGAATCAATCTTTTTCCTCCAGCACTTCCTTAATTTTGGTCAGAAGTCACTTAATCAAAAACTATTTAACGTATTATTTCAAATTAGTGTGAGAAAAATGGATTGCCTATCAATGTTAGACAGGAACTTAGGGAAAAAATTGGAGCCTGACCTCATATTTTATTCTAAATTCCAAATCAATACAAATGTATTTAGAGAAAAATAGGGTAGTTTATGAAAAAGAGGCCCTATAATTCACAATACAAAGGACCCAAGTAAAAATATCCCAATAACCATATAAAATTTTAATTTACTTCATGGCAAAAAGAAAAAGAAAAAGAAAAATGAATCAAGATAGTAACAAACTGTGAAAACATAAATGAAAAGTATAAAGAGACATTTTATTAATTAAAATTAAGATTAGCAAATGAACAGAAAATTAGATGAAGTACCTGAATACACTTCACAGAAAAAGAACTGTAAAGAATTTAAGAAATTTATAAATTAAAACCATGCTTTTTTTCACTGATCAGAGGGATCACAAAATGTGTGGAATACAGGGTAAGAGGATGTGTGGTAAGGTGGCACCTTTAGGCCTGGCTGGTGGGGGTGTGGATGAGTACAACCATCTGGAGAGCAATCTGAGATTCAACAAAATTACAAATGTATACACACCCTTGAACGTAGAAATTCCCCCTGCTAGGAGTCTGTCAGCCTAATATTCACTGTTAGAAAAGTGGTTAAAATCATTACATGTGACTGTTAGGAATGGGAAAGGTTAATATATACTCATGAAATGATCCCCAGGAAATAGTGTGAAATGAAAAAAAAAAAAAAAAAGGACAATACACAGTATGTAATACCATTTGTGTTAAAAGGTGCATTTTTATGCATCTATACAAAATGTCATACCTGTACTTTATGCATGTGTATACATGTGTAACACAGTCTCAAGACTGCCTCTGTAAGGGTACACAGGTTAACAGTACCTCTGGCACAAACGGACAAGGGGGCAGGGAAGAGGGGTATAAGAAAGTCTGGCTTGTTACTATGTATGTATTTATACCTTTTGAATTGTGTATAATGTACAGTATTACTAATGCTGTATCAATTTTGTACATTAGGCTGGGTTAGGACAGAGAAGGATAGGGGGAGAGAGAGAGAGAGAGAGAGAGAGAGAGAGAGAGAGAGAGAGAGAGAGAGAGGGAGAGAAACAGTACGGAGAATAGTTTGTGAAGGAAGGAAAATAATCAATAGTTAGCATTGTCTTTCCTTCCAGAGTTTGAAGAAAAGTGCTTTGGCATAAGAACAGCTAGAAAACAGGCCGGAAATTTAGCCTGTCTCACAAGCGCAAGGTCCTGAGTTTTATCCTCAGTACCCCCTCCAAAAAAGCTAGAAACCTCGGAGGAGGAGGGTCCTAGGTCAGGGGTTCATATTTTAGGATATAGATTGGCAAACTGTTTTAGTAAAGGGCAGAGTAAATACCTTAAACTTTGCAGGGCCCATTTGGTTTTGATGAAATATTCTGGATGCTTTTGTTTGTTCGTTCATTTTATATTATAATTTTTCACAAAAGTGAAAAACCAATTTTAGCCCAAGGCTATATTTAGCCTATGGATGGTTCTCAAAGTGTGGCTCCATGGCCAGCAGCATCAGGATCACCTGGAAACATGGTGGAACTCCCAATAACTGCATACCTTCCTAGACCCTCTGAATGTGAAACTCTGGGGCTTGACAGCTACTGCTCTTGGAGAGTTCTACCCAAACTGAAGGTAGCATGTATAGTCTATGATCAAAATACTCACAACAAGAAGTAGGAGCGAAAGAGAGATATGAGGGAACTATTTCCAGTCAACAGGCTCCTGGGTGAGAGTAGCTCAGTAGGGGCAACTGTGCTGACCCCAGAGGAAGCATGAGCTGCACTCCTTTGCTGATAGGTTTTTCCCCCTCTTTTAAGAGAGGGCTGGGACACTTTTTGGTACCTTTGGACACTGATGGAGCTCATGTTCCTTGGGTTTATTCCCTTGGGAGTTATTCCTTCCAGCATCAGGTATTATCATGTGTAAATTCTCAGCAGGAACTTGGCCTGGCTCTTTGTGGAGGCTTTAGTTATGTACCTTACTTTGGAACTTGTTTTCTTTTAGATATAAATTAATTTGACTTATTCCATCCTATTTTTCTATTATTTTTTCTGTTTTGCTTCCTCTCTGAAAAGGAACACAACTCTGATGGTAAGAAGGCAGCTGAAGAGCTGAAGAAGGGAGGCTGGAGGCCTTTGCCCAGTTAGCCCTATCCAGGCCTCAGGGTTTACTTATGCTTAGTCAAGGGACCATAGAACAAGTCATTGTTATTCATTAAAAAACAAAAAACATTTCCTGTTTATGAACCTAATCTCCACACTTGAATTTCTCAAATAACACTCTAGCCTTTTTCCAAATCAGTTTAAAATTCACATATCAACTAAATCCTAAACCCTCAGGCCAGCTGGTTGTCTTCAACACCTCTTGCCATTAATGAAGAAAGAGTGCAACTCTCTACCCAGTGAAGCTACAAGACTAGAAAAATAACACAGTTTGCAAAGGGAGTGATTATGCAAAGTCTGATATTAGCATGTACGAATCCAAAAGACAGAAGCGCTAATCCAAAGGCATTTTCTTGGTGCTAATTTTCTTTCATCCCTTGTATTCATTTAATCCTTCAGAGGTCATAGGTGAACTAAGATATACAAACTCTTCTTACATATTAAAGGGTAACACCTGACCCTATAACCTCTGCAGGATTAAAGAGGTTAGTGGTCACCTGTGCACTACCTTAACACTAACTCTATACCTTGGTTTTTTAAGACACCAGGCTTTGGTCCAAGTAGATGTGTGAATTCACCTTTCCTATTTTTTTTCTATCCCTTAAATATCAAGGATGTGTCTTTTACTCACATTCTTTTTTTCCCCCTGGCAACCTTATCAGGGTTCAAACTCTCCTCGTCTTTTAAAATTTTTTTCATTTTTATTTAACAAAAATATGCCATGTACTATTTCATGATTTTGCAATTTATGAAAAGCTTCCATATTACTGAAATGCATGTAAGATGGCTGTAGTAACTAGAACATTTCATTACATGGATATATCATATTTTTCCAATCTAGCAACAACATGGGGTTAACTTACATATTTACTGTATAAAAGAGAGACTATTAAGTAGTAGCTATAAGAAAAATCTAATGGATTAGACTTCCAAATCAAGGGACAAATAACCTAATAATCTCAAATGTATTACTACTCTTGAGGATATCTTAGGCGGGAATGAGCATGTTCATTATTCTTGTATGTACTGTATTTTCCTTAACTTTGGGCCAGAATCCTGCTATACTCCAAATAAGACGGAAAAATAAATTAAGAGTTCAAACTCATATTCCAACTAGCTTCTAAGAGAGGCTTTCTTAGTTACTATATGTAAACTGATATCTCTCATGCTGGCTCATTTGTGGACACCTGAACAATGAACGGAAATTCAAGAGACTGTGAGACTTAGCAGAAGTACACTTAACTCAGTCTATCATAGTCATTATACTAGAAAAGTACATATTCCACACTGTTTAAATAACAGTCTAAATTTGCACTTATAGGAGAATGACAGATCAGACTTTCACAAGCATCCTTTTGAGGGCATGGTTAAGATCCCAAGAGAATACAGGTTAAAAATGGAGGAGGAAATAAAACATCACAATGCAAGTAAGCATTAAGAGACCCTGGAGCTCTTTTGAAGGCTTTCTGTAATAGTAGAAATCTAGAAATTGTTTTCACTGGCCTTATGAGGGTGAAAAAACATGGTCTTGGACCTGCTCAAGATCCAGAGTTAGAAATGAGATCTCTGCCTAAAACTGGTTGCTCAGATTGGTAGCTATACTTTTAGTAAAAGATAAGCTAAAAGAAAATATCTGCTTGATGGTCAAGGGAAAAACAGTAACTTGACTGTTTCAACTTCAACTCTAAGGGGAGGTAGACTCTCTTTTTTGAGAATTTATGACACTAGCCCTGTCCTCATGCAAGTTTGAGGTTTGAATTTATATTACTTGCAACTCTAGGAAACTACAGACAAGAAAATTGAAGCAGTCCTCAGCTGTTTTACCCTGGGGGACTTGCCAAGAACAAATACTATTCTCTTCTTAAGGAAAACAGAGATGTGTAGGAATTCTACCCAAGCCTCTCAATATTCCTGGAGATCAAGCAAATTTAAGTACACAGTCCAAAAATCACAAAACACACAAGGAATTAAGCCACTGGGAATAAATCAATAGAATACACAAACAGCAATGTGTGTTCCCCAGAGACTTCAGATACTGGTTACTCAATACAGAAGATAAAACAGCTATGTTAAAAGTGTCTGAAGAAATGAAAGAGCTGGGGCACTGTTCGGGGGCAGGGTGCTATTCAGTGGCAAGGTGCTTGGCTTGTTTGTGAAAGGTCCCATGTTTGATCCCCAGAACCACAAGAACAAAACAAAACAATAAATGAAAGAACTGAGAACATGAGCAGGAGAAAAAGGTCACCAAGAATAACGAGGCAAAAAAATAAATTAAAAGGAAAAGACAATTCACAATACCAACAACAAAAGTATCTAAAATAATTTTAAGAATGCAGAAAATGAAAGAAATAACTCCTCCAACAACATTGGATAATTTAAATAAATAAATTACAATAATAACTAAAGGTACTAGACTGGAGAACTGCATGTATGTATGTATATAGATAGATATGTGAAAAAGAAGAAACCCATAAATTACAAGAAGAAAATTTAAGTAATTAGAAATAAAAAATCTTGGGACTAAAGAAGACCTATCCAACTACATTACTAAAGCCAGATACCATAAAGAAAAAGACCAGTTCAGACTTAATATAAAAATAACATGAGATTGGACTTGCCATTTTAACACCTTTTAAAACCTCATCTTCAAAGGTATTCCAAATACCAAGGACAGAAAAAACAAACACAAACCACACTTAATATTACTGAGGCTGTTACCCCAGAACATAACTAATGGAGAGAGCTAGCAGATGGAGAGTGTGTCATACCTAAATTGTTGTATCAGGAGACGACAGTGAAAAGCAAGCCTGGAAAGATCATAGAGATGTCAAATACTCCAGAACGGGGTGCATGGGTGGAGACGAAAACAAGACAACTCTGGGATTCTAGGGTGAACTCCTAGGTCTCCTTCCCTACCATCAGATACCTGCCATACCTCTTTGTGAGAGGAAAGAAGGAATGGTCTTTGGAGAACTGGGTCAGATGTTCCAGACTCAGGGAACAATGAGAAGAGTTGAACTGAAAACTGGGGTAAAAAATATACCCTAATCCAGCTCCCAAATGCCTGTACCCAGTTTATAACTCCCTCAGAAAATATCTACACAGACATCTCAGGGCTCCCAACTTAAAAATTGACCTCTAATTATCCTGCAGTTTAGTTTATGAATTGAGATGCCTGATCTATCAATTTTGTAGTAATTTACTCTTTTTTTTTTTCCCTCTGGTATCAGGGATTGAACTCAGGACCTTACACTTGCCAGGCAGGCGAGGCACCCCTGAGCCACATTCCCTGCTATAGTAACTTACTTTTATATGACTGACAGATAAAACCAAACATTTAAGAAAAACTTTGAACAACAAAAATAAGAAAAGAAAATTCAAAGGTAAGACAGAAAACACCGACAACATCAGAAAATTTCAAAGACAATATAACAATTACTTTAGAATGCTCAGTTATTACAGTCGTGTAATAAGAGATTAGAGAAAAAGTATTGCAGAGCTTGGTAGTTCACGGCAATAATTTCAGCACTTGGGAGGTTGAAGTAGGATGATAGTGAGTTCAAAGCCAGCTTGTAAGATCCTTTCTAAAAACAAGAAGCCCCCTGCCCGGATCCCCCCAAAATCAGGAGAGCAATGTAGCTCAGTGATATAATGTAGGCTTGCCTATCATACATTAGGTCCTAAATTCAATCCCAAGTACAGAAAAACAAAGAGCTAGGATGAAATTAAGAGAATAAGGAGAAACTTGTAAAAATTAAAAACAGCTGAAAAAAAAAAAAGGTTTAAAGGGAAAATCAAGGTTCTCTCTCCAAATAGGGTTATGAAACAGAGATGGAATCAGAAGAGACCAAAGAGAAAAAAAAATTAAAGATTTAATGACTAAAGGCTCACAGCGTCAATAATAACTAAGAAATCTATGGCTGAGAATGCTGCAAAACGATGTACATACATCATAAATTTTCTAAATGTTGGGGATTAAAGGACAAAATATTACTTATAAAAAAAAGATAAAAGGATCAGATTGGTTTCAGACTCCTCAACAGTATCACTGGAAGCCTGAAGATTATGAAGCAATGCCTTCAAAATGCTAAATGAAAATGATTTTCAACATAATTTTATATCCAGTTTAACTATCAGTGTTTTACAGTGAAATAACAGGATATCTGTCCAGTCTCCAAATATTTGCTATCAGGAACCTTTTAGAAGGTATATTCCATTAATTAGAAGAAAGAAGGGGGCTGGGGATTTAGCTCTGTGGTTCCACCACCTGCCTTGCAGGCACAAGGTCCCAAGTTCGATCCCTAGTACCAAAAACAAACAAACAAACAAACAAACAGAAGGAAGAAGGGGAAACTTGTGATCCAGGAGTGAAAGGACATCTAGGCTGTATGAAGGGAAGCCCTGGGACAAGAACTGGGCTTCAGGCCTACAGAACAAACAGATCACATCGGAGTAGGCTGAAGAAAGGCTCTATCCTGGATGTTTCTGTGAAATAAAAGCAGTAGCTTGTTTAACTGTATAGACAATTTATTAAGTGGCATTTTACAAAGGTGTTGAAGGCTTGGGACTCAGCCTGTAAGTCAAGAAAATCAAAGCAAATGAAAAAAATAGATTAATAATTGTCTCCAGACAAAAAGAGAACTGCTATTTAAGAAAGAAAATGTGATGACAGAACACTATTTGTTAAGTAAAATAAAAAGGGAAACACCAGAAACAAAGTAAAAAGCCTAAGTAACTTTCACTTTCTACCACAAAAAATCCTATAAAATAAGGGCTGAGGCTAAGATTCCTGCAAAGGACTGAGAACCCCTACGGATTAATTATTTAGAAGGGTAAGTTCTCCCTGGCTTCTGAGTCTGATCCATTTTAATGGGTTTTAAGCCCATGAGAACTGGCTATACGATCAGATTATATATGGATATTAAGGCAACTTACTTATCACCATCTTAAGGCATTCAGGATTGTCTTGAATAAGTGGTTCAGCTTGTACCGTTTTACTTAAGAAATTCTTTGATATAAGTGGAAACCTGACTTTAGCAAGGATATCAACCATAAATGGCTGGCGATTGGGTTCATCGTATTTCAACCACCTGACTGCAGCATCATATACCTAAGGGGGAAAAAAGGCATAGTAAAGTTCTTAGATGGCAGAAACAGTCCAATTACCTATGTTTATTCTCACATTGAAGGGGGAAAAATCTCCTAAGAAGACAACCAGTTAATTCCAGTATTTTATTAGATATCTGCTTTCAACCAGAAACACTTTGCCTATACTTGTGAATAGTTTACAAACTGCTCTAGTGGGTCAAGAAGGTGAAAGGTTTTCAGAAGTCACCACTACTACACAGTGTAATGACAGGAAAAACATCAAATTTATGAGTTTTAAAACAAAATGTAGTGTTCTTTTTGGAGGAAGGTACACTGTACTGAAAGAAGTCTATTGGTCAATGATAGCTCCAATGTATGTGCATTTGATACTAGAAAAACAGGTATTCTAAGAGGCTTTCTATCTCAGGAGATATGAAGTTCATTCATTCTTTCATTTCAAACTTACATTCCTATACTGTGATATTGACAGACTTATCTTTCTAAAAACTTTTAAGATATAAAAATTCTAAATTTAAAAGATCACAGAATATTTCTGTGACCATTGTTTTTCTAAATAATACTCTAGCCCTCATTTAGTTGCATTGAACAAACTCATAAACATGATTTATTTTATAAATCATTAATTTTAAAACCCTGAAAACAAATTTATTACTTCATATACATACATATCTACCATGTGTATGTTTGAGCTAACTAAATTGGTAAATTTTGAAGCAGTATTAATAAGGCCCAAATTTTGATCTATGAGTCAAATTTCTATAGGAAATGGTCTTTTTAAAAATAGGCTTTTATTTTAGAATAGTTTTTGGGCTGGGGATTTAGCTCAGTGGTTCCACCAACTGCCTTACAATCACAAGTTAGCCAGTACATGGAGTTCAATCCCCAGTACCAAAAAACAAAACAAAACAAAACAAAACAAAACCCAAAAAGAATAGTTTTAGATTTACAGAAAAGTTGTAGAGATACTGCAAAGAATTCCCATATACTCTGCATTTAGGTTACATCAGTATAATTGTTACAATTAATAAACCAATAGTTAACTAAGATCCATTTTTGTTTTGAATTTCTTTCATTTTTCTGTCTCTAATGTTATTTTTCTGGTTCCATTAAGGAAACCATATTACAATTAGTCATTAAATCATCTTGGGCTTTTCTAGACTGTGGCAGTTTCTTAGACTTAACTTATTTTTTTTTTTTTTTTTTTTTTTTTTTTTTTTTTT